TCACTTGCTGTATACTAAGCGATCTGGGCGAACTCCCCGGTGGACCTTTGAGCGCTTGGCCGATCCGGATCCGGGTCCGGATCCGGTGACCTTTCTGATCTGAGGCAGCTATTTCGGTACTACCGTCCAGAACGAGGCGTCGAATGCCGCTCGCCTTTGGTTGGGGGTGGTGCGGCGGAGATGAGGCCTCTCGCTGACGGGCGTGTTGCGCATGTCTCGGCATGCGATGGGGGAGTATGGTGCATCGTGATCAGTGCATGGATCGTGATGTGTGGCGTAACTAGAAAGAGGGCTTTACCAGACGCCTGGTCCGTGTTCGTCGCGTGGGCGCTGTGTTCCATGTGCCAGGCGGATCCCAACGGGGTCTGCTTTACAGGACAATGGGATCCGTTTTGCACACGGGTCCCAGTAGTCTGCTATGTAGGCGAGTCATAGCAAGGTCCGTTTTACATCCGGGCCATAACGGGATCCTTAACAAGTGCGTGGCGACATGCCTGTTAAAAGATGTGTGAGTGGCCGGGGGGGGGGGGGGGGGGGAGCGCGGGGTTCACCGAACGTCACGCAGAGCATTGCGCATCATTGGGTCGTGTGCGTTGTGCCGCGATTCTGTTTACACCTAAGAATGCTTGAAAGAAGGCGCCCTTGTCCTCTGAAGGGCTGCGGAGAGTTCTTAACCCGGCCGACCCCAGCACTGGGTATTTCGTGGTGGCTTCACGTGCATTATAAGCACTGCTTCACGCGCACTGACGCTCCGCCGCCGCCCCGGGCTTTGGTGGTCCCGCTGCTCCCAAGTGGGGGCATTTCTGTCGCGCTCCCGTCCTGCTGCTTCGCCGGCGACTCCGGCTGGTGTGGTGGTCTCTGAGCGAGAGGGTCGCGGAGTGCGGCTCGCCGGGGGTGTGCGCGGTCGTGCCGAGCCGAGCCGAGCGGATGTTCGGCGGCCAGCTGGTGCCCCAGTCGGCGGAAGTGTTGGCGGGGGCCGGCCCGACGCCCTGAGCGGGCCTTGAGTGTAATGGCGCCGGGGTTAGGCGGGGCCGGCGCGCCGCCCCAGTTCTGGCCGTCTGCCACCTTGGCCGCTCCGCCGTTTCTGGGGTACAGCCGTCGGGCTCCCCCGTGGGTGGGGTCCACGCCCCGCACGCCGCTGACGGGGACGCCCGAGACGGGTCGGGTTGTCAACCCGGCTGCAGTTACCCACGCTCAGGAGTTTGTTTCGCGGTCGGCGTCAGTTCTGCGGGCGCGGAGTCAGATCTGGTGGTCAGTAGAACGTTCGGTACACTGGCAGCCGCCGTCGTTGTCGGTTGTCGAGATCTGTGGGGATATGTGATCGGGGTCCAAATGCAAGTCATGCATGACATGATCTGCCATACGCTGCGGTCTAGGCTCCCCGGCCGCGGGTCGCCTGGGGTGCCGATGGGATGGGATGGTTTCCCTTGCGATCGGCAGCTGTGCTGGTTTTGATCATTTAATCAAGTTGTAACATAGATGGCGGAAGGGCTTTGTCCAGTCCATTTCTGCCGGGGTAAGTCGTGCAATGCTCTGCCGACGTAGGCGGCGTTTACATCGCATGCGATGTTGTCGGAGTACAGAAACCCATAATGTGGGGTCTAACTTATAAGGATTTCGCCTGGACTGATTTTGAAATGCAGTGGGTTTGTAACGAAATATGTTGCGGCATCAGTACCATTAATTGTAGCGCGTTACAAACACAGTTCGAGCTAAGTAGGGCTGCCAGAGGCAAATCTAAATTTCATTTTCTAATTCGTTGCCTGTCCCCGGTACACTAGCCGCGGCTCGTTGGATGCAACTTATCCTTATATGGCGACCGGGAGCACCCGACCCGGCCCACCACCGAGTTTCCGTGCATTATGCCAGGGAATCCAGAAGTAAACAGCTGCAGGATGTAGAAGCATGCTACCCACAGAACAGACGAGCTCCCCGCAAGATTCCATTGGAAGTGTGACATTAGTGAACATTGGGAGGACGCCACAGCGCAGTGCGCCTACCGTAGAGAGGACAGTTAGCGAAAGTGTTCTACCTTTGTGGTGGGCTGGGAACGGAAGTAACTATTTTGAGGATCATTCAGTGCAGTTCACAACCCTGTCATCAGGGACTTAAACGCTTCCAGTTTTTGAGCCACACGCCGGCAGGGGTGTGCAGACTGTTTTGGGACACTATTTCGGTGTCACCTCGGCATCTATGGCGCCGTGACATCCAAATATTGCAATTCCGTTCGCTATGTGACGATCAAGGCCAGAAAATGTGACTTTCGAGCCGCTCATATCTGGTGTTCGTGAGCTTAATTTCCAGATGCAACGGCCGCCAGTTGGTCTGAATCCACGTTGTGCAAGGTACGATGATGTAACTAAACAATGACGTATTGGAGGTAAGCTTATCTCATTTATGATGTCTGCATCAGTATCTTCAAATGTGGAGCATTCTCTACAGGGAACTAGAGGGGGTCGTTGGCGAGCTGTGGAACTAGCGAACAAGGTTGGGCAGGGGGCTTAGTGGTCCTAAATTTGAGAATTTATTATTGAACCTGTGGTCACCGACAGAAAAGACCTGACCAAAACTGGAGATCCTGCCTGCCCCTCTCCCCCGCCCTTTCTCCCAACTCGAGAGGGCCGCCATTGCCCCTGAGGGTGGCGCTACCTGAAGTGTTTTTATTAAACTGGATTCAGTGGATGCAGGATGGTGTTTTTTTTTGTGGCGCCTGCTGTTGATTTGCGCCTGCGATCATTAAGTTTT